CCCTACGATACAGTCAAACAAATTTCAGATCAATCAATCATGTCAAATTCAAGTGGACATGATACTGTAAACCTACATTTCTCTTATTCCTTCAGTTTTTTATCTCAAGCTGTCCATGTGTTTTCTTCAGTGAGTTCTTATCTGATTTTTTTCTTTACCCGGCAATCAATTTGCAAGACTGATATTCGTTGAAGATGGTTCAAAATAAATCCCACATAGTTTCTTTTCTCACAAACAGTACCGCTGCCAAGGAGATCCAGATAAATAGATAACCTACCCAACTCTGGTCATTGTTGGTGATCAGATTGTTGATGTGGGATGTGGAGTCTCCGATAATTAAGATAAACAATTTCTGCACGTTCGTTGGCTACCTTGACTTAACAGTGTCCATTTAAGTTTAGAAATAAGAAACTTGGGTAAGTTTCTGTTTTGAGGGAAAATTCCAGAAAATTTAATAAAACTTGGTTGTTCAGTTATCAGCATAGTTGCATCCAGAGCATTACTATGCATACGAGGAATTTTCGTACTACACTATTCCATCACCCTCCGATGGAATGACCAGACCAATATCCTACACAAGTACACATGATTGTATTATCATACTGAGATTCTACTGAAGATGTTGGACGCAAAGCAATTTCATTTCATCAATGGTTAGACGTGGCACAATCAACATATACAAACGTATCATCAGGTAAAGAATGCAAACTATGTAATCATTCAGCATAAATAAGCGAATTCCCATCAATAAGTTCATATTTTCTCATGTTGAGATTCAATTCATGGACAAGGCTACAAGCCCGATCATATTCTGGGCAAGAATCATCCCCAGCGATAAAGCGATGCACCAGCCCCCCAACCTCGATGCAGCTCTCACCTGCCATCTTCTTCATCCCCCCTTCCCTCATCACCCTCCTCGCCTTTGCCGCCTCGTCCCACGATCCAACATCGCAGTAGATGTTTGCGACCATCACATAGTTCCCGCTTCTCTTGGGCTCCAGCTCGAGCAATCTCTCCTGCACCTTGCTGACAATGTCAATGCAGTCCTTGGAGCTGTGCATCTGGCAGGCGCCCAACAATGTCCTCCATACAACTGGGTCAGCCTCGAGAGGCATGTCCATAACAAAATCATAAGCTTCCTGGAGGCGACCGTTACGCCCTAGGACATCGACCATGGCGCTGTAGTGTTTCATCATTGGCTCGATCCTGTATACATGCCGCATTTCATGGAAAAACTGACGTCCCTCGTCGACCAGCCCAGCATGGCTACACGCGCAGAGCAGCCCGAGAAATGTGACATAATTGGGCGCAACAGATGCACCCTTCATCCTTTCGAACAGCTTGAGCGCTTCCCGGGCTAATCCATTCTGTGCAAACCCCTGGATCATTGCGCTCCAGGTCCAGACATTCCACGCCGGCATCCTCTCAAACAAGCGCCAGGCATAACTTACCAAGCCACACTTGGCATACATGTTCACTGCCGCCGTGCCAAGCTGAAGCGTCATGTCCAGCCGCCGGGCGACGACCTGCCCATGCGCCCACTTGCAGAGCGGCAAGTTGCCAAGCTCAGCGGCGGCGGACATCATGCACACGAGCGTGGTCTGGTCAGGCTCGAACCCGGCTTCTACCATCGCAGAGAACAGGCCAACGCACTGGTCGTGGCAGTCGTTGTCCACGCAGGCAGTGAGCGCCGTGTTCCAGGACACCACGGTCCGGCGCGGCATTTCGTCGAACACCTGCATGGCGCGCGCCGGTTGGCCACAGGCCGAGTAGGCGGCCATTAGGGCGTTTCGTACGTAGACGACGGCGCAGTCCAAGCCGTCCTTGACGGCCTCCGCGTGTGTGGAGGCG